TTGGAAATTTCAGTGCTGATCCATTACATATAGATTACCGTTTTATATCTTTGTATAAAACATTTTGATCGCATGTAAGGAATTATTTCTCAGCCCAGAGACATAGCCCAAAGACTTGACATTAACGTCCTTGTGATTTTATAGAAATAGATCCAGAACTAAGGATATTAGAAGGAATTATCTGTACCTTCTCAAAGTTGTAGACAAGATATGTTGTTTACGTCCAACACGCATAAGATTACATAACTCAAAGTGATTCGAGCGAAACCGGTCTTTTGTTAAAAGGAAGAATGGTTAATAGAAATTGGTCCTTTTGAGTGACATAATCGTGTATCATCATCGATCAGTGATGTTGAACAATGAAAAAATTTGTTGTGAAATTAGTGAAGATAAAATAGCATTTTGTGAAAAAACTGCGGGTCTACGGAGTGGGAACTTTTCGGATTTGAACTCAGCGTGTTCGAAAGTGTTAGTTCCCGTAAAAATATTTCAGATCTAAGACATGCTTAATGAAAATCGTTTTCTAGGCACTTTTCGAGGTCACAACACACGGACTATTACAATATAAATGATATTCAAATAAATTGAATAAAATAAAATTTGACAGCAAAAAAATATGTCACAATACACAATTTGAAAGATACAAGAATAACATTAAAGATACTTGGAAGCTGATAGGAACTTTAGTCAAACGAAAAACCAAATCTCAACAACAGATATCCAAAATAACTAGATGCAATAAGACATACATTGCTGAAAATGACATTGCAAATCAGTTTAATCAACACTTTGCGAGCGTGGGACCAACATTAGCTAATTCAATATGAGGAGCAAACAACATTAATGCATCTACTTATATCTGCAATTCACCTATCCCTAGCTTTGTTATGTCACCCGTCACAGAAAAACAGGTATATGATCTTTTCTCTATGCTAAATAACAAAAAAACATCAATGGACATACCAAATATGATAAAATTGGCTTCTCATATAATATCACCAATATTCACACATATTTATAATGAATCTATTAGACCAGAATTGTTCCTAATAGTTTGGAAATCTCTCGAATAATACCCATGTATAAAAGTGGAGATGTCGCTGATCCTTTTAATTATAGACCTATTTCGATCTTATCATCATTTGCCAAAGTGTTAGAACGTTTAGTATATAATCAGCTGGAGTCATACTTAGAAAAAAATAATATACTTTATAAATACAAATTTGGCTTTAGAAAAGGTCATTCTACAGAACAAGCAATACTAGAATTAACTGATAACCTAAAAAAATCTATTGATAACAAAAAAATTACATGTGGATTATTTTTAGACTTCTCAAAAGCATTTGATACAGTTAATCACGAAATCCTTTTGACTAAATTAAGTAGATATGGTATACGTGGAATCCCCCATGTATGGTTTTCTAGCTATCCTAGCAATAGACTACATTATGTGAGAATTGGTGATAATGATTCAAGTCTACAAAGTATGGTATGCGGGATACCCCAAGGGTCAACCTTAGGTCCACTCCTATTTCTTCTATACATCAACGATATGCCAAATTGCTCTGAAAAACTTTCTTTTCGGATATTTGCAGACGACACTAATGTCTTTTATGAAAGTAATTGTATTAATGATATAGAAATTACAATGAAGGAAGAATTTAATCATATTTTGAAACTTGAAACTTTACTAATTCGCCATACAAAATACAATTACAATTACAATAAAATACAAACAAAATAGATGGCGAGGAGACCTCATGAAACCACTGGGCTTATCTAGTGAGGTCACCTCGGACAACAAATAGTATATATATATATATATATATATATATATATATATATATATATACATTAATCAATTAGGTTAAATACAATATTTTACTCAAAGAGCTGGCGTATGTGCACAACGTATAAAAATTATCTTAGCAGAAATTCTATCATATATTTTTTAAAGGTGGAAAGACTAGACAAATCTTTTATATGTGATGGTAAAGCATTCCAAATTTTAGGACCTTGAAAGAGTATAGTAAATTGTTTTAAATTAGTTCGTCAAGCTTGAGGACGATAATTCTCAGCAATTCTTGTATTGTAATTGTGGACCTGGTTGTTAGTGATAAATAAGTTCAGAAGAATTGGCGGCAACATTAAATTTTTATAACAGAACATAATCCTAGCAACATAAAGTGAATTAACTTTAAAAATATCTAGTATAGCTAATTGAGTAAATAGAGGATCAGATTGAGCACGGAATTCTGCATTAGTAATAATACGCACAGCACGCTTCTGTACATAAAATATTCTATTTAGGTTTGTTACATATGTTGATGACCAGGCTAGGTTACAAGTAATGTATGGGTATATCAGAGTGTAATATAGAGATAATTTTGTTTTAGATGATAAATTGAAGCGCGACCTGTGCAATATACCAACCGACTTTGAAATCTTTTTACTAATATAGCTTATGTGGTCTTTCCACGTTAGATGTTCATCAATATATACTCCCAAAAATTTTATAGTTTTCTTCTGCTCAAGTAGTTTATTACCAAAGCAGAGAGAAAAGTTAGTAGCAACTGTCTTCTTATTTGATTTAAAAATAATATAATTTGTTTTCTCAATATTAACAGAAAGTTTGTTACTTTTCATCCAGACATCAACCTTTTTTAATTCTTCATTCATTACAGACTCTAAATGTTTTGGATCTGAGTGCAAATAGAAAATGCTAGTGTCATCTGCAAAAATCAAAGTTTCTGTCACCTTAGAGGCATTTGGAAGATCATTTATATAAAGAATAAAAAACAATGGACCTAGAATAGACCCTTGTGGGACACCGCATTTAATTGTTTGCTGAGAGGAGCAAGTTTGAATGAATTCAACAAATTGCTTGCGTTCTAAAAAATAGCTTTTAATCCATGTCAGGGCTATGCCACTAATGCCGTAGTGTTCCAACTTGTCAAACAGGATATCATGTTCAATGGTGTCAAACGCTTTAGATAGGTCCAAAAAAAACCCTGCAGTTGTTTCCTTACGATCAATGGCCGAGTAATTAGGCATTTATACATAACTCTTTCAAAAATTTTGGAGAAGTTGGTCAACAGAGAAATAGGCCTGTAATTTGAAAACTGTTCACGATTTTCTGCTTTATAAATAGGAATAACTTTAGCAACCTTCAATTTGTCTGGAAAGACCCCAGTTGTGAGAGAAAGATTAATCAATTGCGTAAGGGGCTCAGAAATGAGATCGAAAGAATTCTTAATTAGATACATTGGGATATTATCATGCCCGGGAGCTTTACCTGCTTGAAAGTCATGACATATTTCCTCAAGTTCGTGGACATTAGTCTCATTTAGGATTATTGGGCTATTTTCATTATCTGTTAGAAAGGAGTGAAAAGAGAAATTTGTGCTAGGTATTCTACTCGCTAGTGCGGGCCAATATCAGTAAAGTATTTACAGAATCTGTTGGCAATTTCGAAATGATCAGTTATCATTCATTATCATGAATGCTGAGGGCAAAGATTGCTTGGTCTTTCGTTTATTAATTACCTCATTCACTAGTCTCCATGTTAATTTCATGTCATTTTTGGCAATTTCAAATCCATTTTCATAATACGTCCGCTTAGCGTTTCTGATTATGTGAGTAAGCTTGTTTTTATAGAATTTATACCGTGATTCACGTTGCTTGTTTGGGAAGTTTATTAATTGCTTATAAAGCCTATTTTTTTGCTGATGGATTTTAAAAGTCCTTTTGTAATCCAAGGAGAATTGAAGTATTGTAAACTTTTACATTTTATCCTTTCCATGGGAAAACAAGCTTCAAATATCTTAATATATTCATTTATGAATATTTCATAAGAATTATTAACGTCTAAGCCATTACATCTATTAGATCAGTTTATCTCAGAAAGGCATTCGCGAAACGTATTGATATTGTGTTCGCTAAAGGACCGTCTAAATGCCTTTTGCTGACAATGTGGATTAAAGTCTTTATGAAAACATGCAAAGATTGGTAAATGGTCAGAAAGGTCATTTAGAACAATTCCGTTAAAGACGTTATCAGAACGTTGGTTAGTGAATATGTTATCAATCAGGGTAGCTGTGTGAGAGGTAATACGCGTTGGATTCGAAATGAATGGATAAAAGGAATACAAAAATAGGCGATCAATAAATTCTTGAGTGGGCACGTTATCATTATAACGGAGCAAGTCTAAATTAAAGTCACCCATGATGAAACAGAGCTTATTCCCTCTGGTGATGTTAACAAGAATGTCATTCAATTCGCCAATAAAAACTGTTGTATTTTGGTTCAGCGGCCTGTATATTACACCGACTACAATATTTTTCCCTTGAGGGACGTTTATCTCAACCAATAAAGACTCAATTACATTGGGATTTGAGTATGTACACTCAGAGCATATTTTATATTGAAGATTATTTTTCAAATAAAGGCCGGTTCCTCCGCCAGTTTTGGATTTACGATGGTTGGAGACAAAGCTGTAACCGGGCTTATTGACTAAGTCTGAAGTAAGATCATTTAGCCAGGTTTCTGTTACCCCAATGACAGAAAATGATTTCCGCAGATTTGCTAGCAAAATCTCAAATTTATCAAAATTGCCAATCAAACTTCTAGCATTTAGGTGCATTAATGAAAAGGTCTCATTTGGGCTTTTAGAAATTAATTGATCACTAATAGATTCTTCTACCATATAATTACTAATTGTTTGGCGGAATGGAAAATTAACATCTGGGTCGACATTGTTTAAATACGAATGCATTGCTTCGGGGTGATCTATGGGATTAAATAATAATGATTCCAAACAAACTGGATCAATGTTTACTGAACCATGAGTTAACTCATATAAGGCTAATTTATACGAAATGTCATCCAAATGATAGAATGGTAGAAAACTTTGTAAATTAATATCGTCAGGTAAACAAGACATCAAAGAAATGTTTTATATAGATATAGTAAATATATAACTATTTGTAAATTGTCATTACTTAGCTGCGAGGCGAGACAGATCCTCCCGGTATACTAATTCTAAGGTTCTCCAGATCGCTGGGACTTTTGATCAATAAAGGACGAGAACTCTCTGTCACTCTAAGATAGACTTTAAAGTTTTTTACCCAGCGGAATCTAAGGCCATGTTGCAGCTGGAATTTTCTCGCTTCTGCCAGTAACTTCTGCACACCAGGTGTTAGGTGCTCAAAGATCTTAGCTTCCGCCATTGGGTCTTGACCTTGTAGTCCTATATCAGCGGGTGTAACTTTACATATGTTTTTACGAGCTTTAATAGTTTCTTCTTTCACGATCCTTCTAACAAACTTACAGATAATCGGCCGTGGGCTGGGCCTTGCACTTCTTGAAGGGACACGATGTGCAATATCGATGTCATTCCAAGTAATTTCAACTCCCAATTTCTGAAAGAGTTTAAGACACAAGTTCGTTGTTTCAGAAGCAGATTCACTTGAGTTGTTGTCAGGTATTCCCATTAGTTTCATGTTATAGCGATAGCCATATTGCTGGCTTTCTTCAATGGCTGCAGAAATATTTTCTACTTTGTCTGAGAGGATATCCAATCGATTTTTAAACTGTTGAAGCTCAACAGTAGATTTCTTTTGAGAACTGCTCAGATCATCATAGGACTTGCTATAAAACTCTAGGTTATTCTGAATCTCCACGTTTGGACTTCCGTCTTGCTGGCCTTGGCCATTTTCGGTTTGAGCTTCGTTTCGTAGTTTACTCCGTAGCCGATCAAAATCCTTGGAAAGAGCATTAATTTGTTCCTTAAGGCTGTCATTCTCCTTTTTTAGAGACTTGACAGTAACTGACATATTTTAAGGCTTATATCGTGAGAATGCCATACCCTATTTCAATCTAATGGGAATCCTGAGCTTTGATGTTTTCAAACTGAAAATAGCTACTTTCACATATAAAATTATTAATGATAGCAAGAAAATGACAGTAATATTTGAAAAAATGGTCACACCAGCTTCAGTTTCGCACTCACACAACATCAGGTTTGCTGCCTTCCTCAGATTGGTTCAGAATTAGGTTTAAATATTCATAAGCAAATGACATAGGACCTAAAATGTCCAGCACCTCTATCTTGCAAGCATCGACCGTCCTTGTCTGCTTGTTTCACACCAGACACAAGGCCGCATAAATAGCTGTCTAAGGCTGGAGTATAGGCCACCTCAACATATCTGGTCTTGGATATTTTCGGCATATTGTCTTTCTGTCAAATGGTTGTAAAGGTTTGCGAAAAGAGTCCATAAAATCAGTCGGTCCTGGGCTAGCCTGCCAATGTGAGGCAGGCGCAGCCAGTTCATTGCCAAACTCTTCGACTTCATTCTGCTGATCTGCCTCTGGGTAGGCATTCAAATGCGGTCGTTTAGCTGTTGTCTGCGAGTTTACAGCTTCATCAGACACTGATTGATCATTTTCCCAGAGGAATTTGTAAACGCTGATCAAAGCAAATGTAAAGCCTCTGGATCAGCAAACATTTATTTTACTAAATCTGAAAACTGATTTTATATTTTATATAAACTGATATAATTTGCTATTTTTGCCCTTTCTGTGCAACTGTTCGATTCTTTCACAAATGTTTTCCATTGATGATATATAATTGACAAATATATCTTGTGGAATTGTCAATACTACTGATTGTTTGATGCCTTCAAAGGTTTTGAGAAAGCAGAATAACTGACTGCTGTCATTAATGTTCTTTGTTACAAAATTGCAGTAGCATATATATTACAATTAAGGCATTTTTAAACAAATAGACTGATACATATGTTAATGCATTTTTGCATACCAAATTATCTCACTTATTTTGTAGTCCGTGTCATCAACTGTTTCCATGTGTGCTGGACTGGTTTGATCACTGCTAGGCATGTTTTCTGGTGAATTTGGCTTGGTAGGGTGTGATCCAATCAAATATGCATCATCATCAGCACAGTTGAAATCACATCAAGATCATCAGCACAGTTGCCAGTGGTGTCAGGTAGTTGTCAACAAACAGCTTGCGAAAGGCTCTTGTGAACTGAAATGGAGTGGGATTGTTGCAATTTCCTCTTTACCGCCTGATCACACCAAAAATGTTTTCTAGGGCATCTTGGTTGAGACGTCTTGTCAGGAGGAATTGGAGTGAATCTTTACTGAGGTGCTGCCATAACTGACATATACCATTCAAAGTCATCTTTAGACCTTTCAAACATCGCAACTGATTTGTTGCGTCTGCTTCACTTTGTCCGTTTATCACCTTTATTGACGCATTGTATGCCAGCATATCAACAATAAATTGGTGTTGAGGTGAATCTTTCGACATTGGTTTTTTGTACATCTTTGGACTATAATCAGTATAGAAATTTATATATGACACATTATCCCAGTTTTTGTTTAAACAATTGAGTGTCTCATCACCTCCAGTGTCCTTTTCTGGTGGTGTAACTTGTTCATTGCAGTTTGATGAGCAAAAATTGCTGCTGGTACTGGTGCACTGATAAAGTTAAAACCTATTAAAATTGTTAGAAATCAATTTAAATAAAAATATTCTAACATATTTGAGAACTAAAATTACACACCAATTGTGTTATCGAAGTGGGCACACACTTTATTGAATGTTTATACCTTTTTGTGCAGAATTTTGGTTTGTGTTGTATTAGACAAACATTTTCTTTTTCTTGTCTAAAATAAATTTCATTTATAATTAAGTACAATTTAAACTGTAAACAATGGGAAAAGCAGGACAGTTTTTTCTTGCAGTTATTGTCAAGAACGTCTCTGATCTCGTCTTCTGCACCATCCAGGGTCTCCCAGATCGATTCATCGTCTAGAACATGTGATTGTATTACAGAAAGAGCATCATCATCTACATTATCATCATCATCCTCAGTAGGAAAATTAACTTTGAATGTACTCTTCATATTTGAAGCATTATCTGTCAAAATGTATTCCACCTTGTTGCTTATGACATATGTTTCTAAAATGTCATCAAAGGCTGCTGCAATTCGTGTTCGAGTGTGTGAACCACTAAAGCGCTTACAACTCCGTAGGAATGACCGCAATTCTTCAGCACTGGTCGTGGGATCTAATATATTTGTATGTGTGGTATGGTGACACCAAGAAAAGATGTCATTGCTCTGTCTGACCATATGTCTGTAGTGTGCGAAACTGAATCCTTACCTTTAACATTAACCTTTTTTTAACATTATCAACACATTGATTTTTTCTTTGAATACCATAGGTATACCTAAATATAAGTTCATACTAAGCTCATTTTTAGCTTAGTCGCTTAACAAGTTAGTGTCCTAAAGCCCCTATACTGATAGGCAGAAAAAAAAGGGTCTTATAAAAATTGAGACACACCATGTAACCATTTCTCATCATAATGTGTCATGTAGTTTGGTTTGGGTATATTACTATAATACTGTATTTGGCAGTTAGTTCACTACTTAGTTGTCAAAGTCTTAAACTTTTAGTAAAATTTGTTTAAAATATAGTAATATACAGTGGATCAACAACTTTCATAAATTCTCGGAAATTTTGGTTTGATTCCATTCAATAATCAGCTTCTGAATTATGGAGGCTTATTATATATTAAATTATATACTTTTGTGTGCAAGTTCACTCATTTGCATCTGTCAGAAACACAAAATCACCAACAAAATTGTTAGTTACGGGAACCACTGAGTATTTTTATAAAATACAAAAGGACAGTAACTCCAAATAACATTTTGTAGCTTTAATGAATCTACGTTTCGACTATATTTTAGTCATCATCAGGACAGATTAGTGTAATGTTACAAATACTGATATATATATATAGTTAAGCAGGAGGAGCTTAATAGTGTCACTGAAATATGATCAGTTCTTTTGAAGCTTTGGCGACGTGGTTGAGTTCTGGTTTCCTTCTGCGAATTGCAAGGGATTCTTTATATAATAGTAGAGACCAGTGATCAGATCTATCAGTTACAGTTCTCAAATATAAGTTGTGTTGTGTTAGTCACTTTGACAAAAAAGTTTATTAACAAAACCTGCCGCTTGCTGAAAGGTCCATGCAAGTTTATTCTGCTCTGGAAAACCACCCAAGTCAATTGTTTTCTATCATGCAAAGATAAAACTCCAAGTGAATATCGAAGCTCCGTAGTTTACCAGTTTTCCTGTCCTGGTTGCAAAAGCTCGTATATTGGCAAAACAGGTTGTTGCCTTTTCACACGCTTTAAAGAACACAATAATCGCGAAAGTTCAGAAATCAATGCCCACATTAACTCTTGTGAACACTTCCAACACCTCAAAACCCTAATGGAACTAACGCCTGATTCTACTGAAACTATAAACACTAACACAACACAACTTATATTTGAGAACTGTAAGATAATTGATAGATCTATCACTGGTCTCTACTATTATATAAAGAATCCCTTGCAATTCGCAGAAGGAAACCAGAACTCAACCACGGCGCCAAAGCTTCAAAAGAACTGATCATATTTCAGTGACACTATTAAGCTCCTCCTTCTTAACTATATATATATATATATATATATCAGTATTTGTAACATTACACTAATCTGTCCTGATGATGACTAAAATATAGTTGAAACGTAGATTCATTAGAGCTACAAAATGTTATTTGAAATTGTTAGTGTGGACCAGGCTTTAGCAAAAGACCAAACTTGTGCCAAATCCCTGCACATATTCACATATGTCCTACAGTTACAGAAGTAAATCATAAGAAACGATCAAAGCACTGAAAATTGAATGATCAAAAATTCCTAAATTATTTACGCATGTGGGATTCTCAAAGGTGAATATATTCAAATCATCGACAAGTAAACTACTGCACATGAAAGCTAAAAGAAGTAGGACATTAAAATGCCACCTTGCAGTGTACAAAGAAACACATATGACATTGTAGGGTCGCAGTCAGGGTAAGGAACTGGGTGCAGGTTGCTGTCAAAGCAATTAGCTGATAAAATGAGTGGAAAAGATGCCCTAATGTGTTCAGCAGGGCATTCAATTTGGCTTCAACATTGCTCTCTTCCACTGACTCGTCATCCATTTCACCTTGCTTTACCATGTATCTATACATTACATATTTAAAACTGTATGGAAATAATTCCGTGCTTACAACTGCATTCAAACAATTCTGTGCGCTATATTTTACAAAAAAAACTATAGAAATTAAAGACATCATGGAGACAAATAATTATCATATGACCAACATGGCAAGAGAATTGGCATTCAATAAGAATCACCAATTTTGTGTAGGTTGAGTCACGATAATGATATTTAATGAGGCTTTATGTTCGCTTATGCGCTTCTGTGCAGGTCAACTAATATGAATTTCACTGCCTGATCACACCAAAAAGGTTTCTAGGGCATCTTGGTTGAGACGTCTTGTCAGGAGGAATTGGAGTGAATCTTTAATGAGGTAACATAACTGATGTATGTGTGCATAACTGACATATACCTTTTAAAGTCATCTTGAGACCTTCCAAACATCGCAACTGATTTGTCACGTCTGCTTCACTTTGTTTGTCTATCCCCTTTATTGGCACAATGAATTCCAGCATATCAACAATAAATTGGCGGTGAGGTGAATCTTTCGACATTGGTTTTTTGTACATCTTTGGAATAGAATCAGTATAGAAATCTATATATGACACAGCATCCCAGTTTTTCTTAAACAATTAAGTGTCTCTTCACCTCTAGTGTCCTTTTCTGGTGGTGCAACTTGTTCATTATATGCAGTTTGATGAGTGAAAGTTGCTGCTGGAACTGGTGCACTGATAAAGATATTAAAATTGTTAGAAATCAATTTAGAAATATTCTAATAAAAAATTGAGAACTCAAATTACACACAAATTGTGTTATTAAAGTGGGCACACACTTTATTGAATGTTTATACCTTTTTGTGCAGAATTTTGTATCTATATCTTACATGATATTTAAAACTGTATGCAAATAATTCCGTGCTTACAACTGCATTCAAACAATTCTGTGTGCTATATTTTACAACATAGCTATAGAAATTAAAGACATCATGGAGACACAAAATTATCATATGACCAACTCGACAAGATGATCAGCATCCAAATAAGAATCACCTACCCTGATTTCTTCCAGGAACGACCAACAATTTTTACCCAAATTGTCCGACATTTTACTTGCAAATGAGGTATTGTGAAATGATTACATCATTGTAAGAGCATAACGGGAAACCCCATACACAAAGGAAACACCGAAACATGCTCAATCATGAAATTCGACAAGTAATTGCTAAATTTGTTCTTCAACATGTTTCCTGAAAAGCTGTGAAAGACTTACTCTACACATTGTTGATATTGTGTGAATGTTTAGAGCATTTTGGAACAGGTTAGACCACAAAATTGGTCTTAAGAATGTAACCTAGCACTGAACCCGGGAAAAACAAAGGCGATGCTGTTCTCGACTTTGCAGCATTCCAGAGTTCACCTGCTTCACGAATATGTCACTGGCCTTCCTATATAGGCGGAAACCAACTCGAACAACTTGATAATGCTCAATTGTTAGGTACCCAATTGCATCATCATTTAACTTGGACAAATGAAATAGGTAAAAAAATATCCAGCCGTTCCAAATCTTATCCGTACTAAGAAAACTAAAGCATCTTGCCCCTTACAAGATCAGAAAGCAGTTATCTGAGTGTCTGGTGCTATTAAAGCTGGATTATAATGATATAGTGATTCATCCCATTCCTGAATATCTTGTGAAACGTCTTCAGCATGTGCAGTGTGTGGCTGCTGGTTTTGTTGTCGGAAGGTATGCCACTCAATTGGATGTGTTGAAATTGGGATGGCTTCCAATAAAAGAATGAAGTGATTTTCACTTGGCCCAAGCTACGTTTAAGACCTTGTACTTTGATCAGTGGCCTTCATACTTGAAGCTGGAGTTGTACACTCCTGGCAGAATATTGAGGTCATCCTCAGAAACCAAACTCAATAGGGCCATTTATACGTGACAAAATAAGTCTCGACTTACATAAGACACGACTTAAATAAGTGGAGTTATAGCATAAATGGTTCTCTACGGCTTTGGTCTTATTTATTTGCTATAGCTATAATGTTGTTTTGGTTGTTTTGGTTTTAATATGCAAGGCATTAAATTTTACATTGTTTCAAGTTTCTGGCATGTGTAGTTAGACTTTCTGTCCAAAATTTCTTATTTAAGACGCGACTTAAATAAGAACAGCTAAAAGACCTGTTCTTATGTAAGACGCGTCTTATCCAAGATGCGTCTTACATAAGAATTTTGTACCTTTTATACGACAAACTCGCATCTTACCGAAGTCGCGTCTTATGTAAGTTGTGTCTTATTTTGTTCCGTATAAATGGCCCTAATGTGCCCCTTGAAAATGACACCTTTCAAGCCAGTGCTGCAATTTTAATATTTTACCCTTAGAAATTAGAAACTGTCGTGTTTTTAAAGATTTTAAGCGAACTGCTAAAGCACACTATTTTGAAGTGGCAAACGAAAGATTAAATAGGGAATAATTTAATAATTAAGAATTATTTGAATTTTAGCATGTTAATAACTTATAGAACCTTTCTATTTTATAACAATTGTAGTATAATATATAGTTTTTTTACAGATGAAGAGCCACTCACATGGAAATACGTAAAAAAAACATTATTATTATTATTATTTCAAGCCGGACTGTTGTTAAATGCTGCTGTGGAAAAATTTGTAAAGGGACTCAGCATCTCAAGATGCACCAGCGTAGTTGTCATGTTATACATGGGCTTAACAACGAGCTATGTGCAGATCTTGAAGAGCAGAATGCGGATGACAACACAGAAGGAGTTCTTGCGGATGATGAAGTTGCTACAAATTTAACTACGACTGAAAATGAAACAAGTCCAGTTCTTAAGAAAGGTATAAAGCTGCCGAAAAGAGATTCAGAATGGTCAACGGCTAACGAACATTCTAAATCTGCTCTACCTTTAAATGGACCAATCAAATCACAAGACTTGAATACAAGTATACAAGTATTAAATGACGCGATATATAACTACTTTGCTGATAACTTTGGACATACAGAAACGATTCCTGATAAAAATTTAATAAATATAAAGATCATACTGTTAAAATTCTGAAAAAGGAAATTTAAAATCGACAAACTCTGACATCACAGAAATAAAGTATGTTCGGTGTGCTTTGTGTGATAAGCTGTGTGACAATAGGCTGTGGGCTGTTGGCCAAAATGATTTCCCTTCATGGCACCCATGTGGGAAATACTTGGTTTGGGGTTTATTTGAAAGGCATATCACTACCAAAAAAACTTCCCAAGCAAAAAAGTTGCCCAATCCCGAGAAAATGGGGTGATCAATGATTATCCTCTATTAAATTGTATTACAGCAAAAACGAAATTGCAAATCACGAAATTACTTTTCTAGGCACTTTTTCGCACAACAGCCCACAGCCTACAATAACAAGAACACTCAGACAGACCCAAACCATGACGAGTCATTCAATCACGATAAATATCATTAGTGCAATTTCTGGGGTTATGTGAAAAACATGCTTAAAACAAAACGGACAGTATTACCGTCCTTCAGCATGCCAGAATGCCTCAATTACTTCAAGAAAATACTGGGAGAAATTCATCTGACTAAATTATTTCAAATTCCAAGTTGTATTCCTAAGTTATGTAATCCTCAAATTCAATTTGACCTTGACCCCCAATCTATCAACAAATTACAGCTGTAATACGTAAAATGAAAGCATCTGGTTCACCTTGCTCTCTCGATCAGCTCTCAATAATATGTTTTAAACAGTGTCCTTACCTTAGAACTTATCTTACCAAACTTATACGGACTGTCTGGTTATCTGGTACCATCCCTGCTGAATGGAAAAGAGCTTGTACTATATGAAAGCATCTGGTTCTCCTTGCTCTCTCGATCAGCTCTCAATAATATGTTTTAAACAGTGTCCTTACCTTAGAACTTATCTTACCAAACTTATACGGGCTGTCTGGTTATCTGGTACCATCCCTGCTGACTGGAAAAGAGCTTGTACCATTCTTCTTCATAAAAAAGGTGAAGCTAACGATCCCTCCAATTTAAGAATGCTTTTGGTGAAGTTCATCACAACTTAATTCAATCTATACTTGAATATCATTATATTCCTGACCACATAAAAAATGTTATCAAAAGTTTATATACTGATTTTAAAACTTCTGTGATAACTTCTGAATTCTGCACTCCATTCATAACTGCTGGCCGTGGTGTGCTGCAAAGCGATTGTCTGAGCCCTCTGCTGTTCAACATGTGCTTTAATACTTTCATTCAGCACAAAAAAAGCTGACAAGTACAGTCAATTTGGTTTCATGTTTAACTTCCTCAATCCCATTCACTGGTTTCAATTCACTGATGACGCGGCTGTTATCACTTGGCCAAGATTATGAAAACCAACACCTCTTAAACCGATTGACAATCTGGTGTCAATGGTCGAACATGATAATCAGAGTTGATAAATGTAGCATCCGTTCAGTACTTACCGAAACTACCAATTAACAATGGTCTCGTACCTACTATTCAAATGGGAGAATATTTTAAATATCTAGGAAGATTCTTTGATTTTGATATGTCTGACCATGACCACAAATCTGAACTAATGTCCCTCATTGATGAACTAATGTCTGATATCGACCATAAACCTCTACACCCAAAACAACAAACTTCTTCTATACAACTGTTACATTCTATCCAAAATATCTTGGCATCTCAACTGTTGCACCCTGTCGAAAACCTGGGTAACCGAAACAATCGATTCTGTGATTAATCAATACATCGGAAAGTGGCTTGAAATACCCATTTCTGGAACATTAAGTAATATTTATCTAACCCATAACAAATTTGGTCTGAATATCCTCCCTGCATCCGTCAAATTTATCCAATGTCAAACTGCCCTACGCAATGCCTTAAAAACATCCCCCAAATGATTCCATAAAAGAACTCTGGGAATCAACTAACAATCACACTAATATTCAATATGACATATATAATTCAACAAAGGAAGTTCTTAAGGATTTTCATTCTGGACAAGAAGACAAGCTTCAGCACCGCTTAATTTGTCAAGGTTCATTTTTCTCGAATGTTGCTAAGTTTTCCCTTTCACAGTTAAACACACTTTGGTCTGCGGCTCAATCAAAGCTGCCAAAGAACATTCACCGTCTGTTACATAAATAGCTCTCTTCATATGCAAAAAAGTCTTACAAGATGGGGTTTAGCTTCAAGTCCCGAATGTTCCTTTTGCTTGTGTCCTGAAACCCTACTATGCATGGTAGCTGGCTGCCAATCATACCTTCAACGCTTTACTTGGAGACATGATTCTATTTTCTCGCTGAAACGTTTCAAACAATAAATCCATGTCGACTTTATGCTGACCTACCTGGCTACAAAAGCCTGTCAATTATAACTGGTGACATATATCGACCGGACTTACTCCTAATTACTCCAAATGAAGATCTTTATGTCGTTGAACTTACTGTCGGGTTTGAATCTAACCTACATAATAACGTTGAACACAAAAAAGCTAAATATAAAAACCTAATTGAAGATCAAAGGGGCCACTTTAGTTTTGTTAAATTTGTAAATTTATCAATGAGCTCTCTCGGTGTGTTTGACAAAGAATGCTTCACCTTTTTAGAAATGTTAGTTGCTATTGGAATGGATAAAAAGCAGCAACATTACTGCATAAAAAAGATGACGTCTTATGCCATTAGAGCAACATACCATATTTTTTGCTGTCAAAACAAAATAATGTATGTAATCATATACCCATTTTATTCTTGTTTTTACTGTAAATAGTACATATATAGTACTCTGTGATTCATGTAGCCAATTGTAAATTACCTAAGTCAGTAGTGAGATTTAGAATTGTATATATACGTAAGAAATTCAATAAGGTGTTCATTATTATTATTAAATAATGATGTTATTTTACAAGAAATACAAAGGCAAACATAGCCGACATGCAGGCCCCCAAGGGAACTTGATAGTGGGCCTGCAAGCAAGGCCCGGTATTTTGTACTTTCCAATTGGCTGTTTGCTGTTGGAGTCTATAATTAGGTCAGTGATTCATCACAAAGGCTCTCGATAAATCTCGATAAGCTTAAAATTCGAAAATTGATCACTTTTTTGCGATTACAAATGGAACAAGAACAGACTGTTTATTGTTTACTTGAAGGAAGAGATGTTTTTGCCGTTATGCCAATGGGGATTGCTTGTCATGAGGTGTTGGAATAGCAACATTACGACTGGGGTAAACTATAGTAACCTTTACCACAGAGCCTTTAATACACTTGAGTTTCATTAATTTCAAACATGACTTGATACGTTATATGTTCCTCAAGAAAATGATCTTTTGGTTGATGTTGAGATGCAGTTGTATGTAAGCCTATTCGAAACACTTTGCGATTTACAAGGCTTCACTGAGAGAGCGAAACAGAAGACGGTATTAAATTGCCGTTTGAAATGAAACGATCTGGACTCTGAACTCTCTCTTCTTTTGTAGAGTTCTTTACCAAATGAAATAACTGAAATAAATTTCGTACTTTCCGCCGCCAACAAGAATTGCACAAACAATCTGATAAGTGAGACAATTTATTTATAACAATAGCGACAGCGAAGCACACATTATAAATGCTAATGTGTTGCACGACTTCCCTCACAATTTGAAGTTTGAGACTGGTTTTCTGTTCAAATTCGTCCTACTTTGCCTGTTCTGCTTTTAGTTGAAAATGAGCACTTGCAAATTTGGCAATTACTGACTGGGTTGCTTGCTTTTTTGGAGTTAAAACGCAGCCATTTACACATTGTTTATGTTCTGAATAAGCAGAGAAAACCCTGCAACATTTTAATGCAAGTTTGTTTGTTAATATTTGGGTGCTGCCATTGGTTCTTTTTTGACAATTGACGCGCAAATGGGGCGTGTTATGAAAAGGGGCGTTTTACAAAATACCGGGCCTTGCTTGCAGGCCCACTATCAGTTCCCTTGGGCCTGCATGCAGGCTAAGGCAAACATGTAAACAATGTATACAGATTTGTGGAGGTAAACTTAACTATTTTGTAGGAACACAATAAGCATGTGTTTGCATGTAGTTTGCGATAATTTTGCAGACAAATAGAGATGCAAGAATGGAACAATATTGCGCTACTCATAAACATGCATAATACAAATTTTCCAAGACACCACTATATAACCTTTAATTTAAGATTTGTGGAGCTTCGACCACTACAATACATTTCGCAAAATTTGTGGGAATAGTTGTGACACATTATATTTGCAGTCAAATTTATATTAGTTGACCTGCATAGAAGCACATAAGCAAACGTAAAGCTTCATTAATATCATTATTGTGACTCAACCTATGCAATATTAGTGAACCGGAATTTAGGTATGCGCTTAAGACGCATGAAAAAAGATCATTTGTACAACTGGATATATATAGTATCCCCTTTTAAAGAAATGGCATGGAATAGTGCAAGGCTATGTTATACTGGCAAAAGCAAGCCAAATGGCCGAGACGAGTGACCAAGATATGACTGAAGGCCAGACTGCCCAGACATCATCGTCAAGTTGACTGCCCACTTCAACAGCAGATCAATGCAAATATGTGAGTTACGTTGATCTTATAGAATACTATATTCCCGGTGGATTTTTCATATATATATATATATATATTAAATATATATATTAAATATATATATATATATATTAAATATATATATATTCAATTGTAAATCTAATATAGGTTCTTTGAATGTTTGCATGGCGATAAAATATAATTGTTTTTGTTTGTGGAAACACCGCGTAAATTTATTACTGCAGTAATAAATTTACGTGGTGTTTCCACAAACAAAAACAATTAAATCTAATATAATTAAGATATGGCTTTAGACCAAAATTTCCTTGACGAATTACCATTCTATGATCTGAATACTGAAGATTTTCTTAGGACAACAGGGGTTTGGGCA